CAACGCGTCCAGCCCGTCGAGCGCTCCTTCTACATCTGCTCCATCCCTTGTCTCATCTCCCGCCCATCCTCCCACCTCTGCTTCTCATCTCCTCCTTCTTGCTCCTCTTTGCTCTTCCCATCCCGCACAAACCTTTTCATAGGGCAACATATGTGGACGAGAATGCGCTGCAACCGGCTGCTGGAAGACTTTATTGGGATTGGCAGCAGGTCGAGTGGGCGGATAAGACTGCTGAGAGGGTGAATGAGGTGTTGCGGAGCGGCAACGATGCGCAGAGGTGAGGCATCTGGTGATGAGATGTGCGCTTCGACTTAGCGCGCTTCTTGATGGGATTGCAGCTGACACCATATACCGCATACACGCGCCCACAATAGCAGGGCCAGCTTCATCACATCCGAACTCGAATCTGTGGGGCTATCTGCTCGCGCGCAAAGGTACACCTACTTCCTCTCCTCCTCCTCTTCGCACACCAGCACGAGAAAGAGATCGGGAACAAATGCGTACGGTCACTTGAGAGCATCTCGCTCTGACGGTAGGGAGAGCATCCTCATCCTAGCTCCTTGGAAAAGCAGCATTGCTAATCACACAGACGAAGAGAATGCTCAAGTATTCGCTGCTGCTGCTGGTGCAAGCGACGCAGCGACGAGAGGGGAGTGGTATGAGAGGTTAAAAGCGAAGAGGGATAATGTTAGGGGTGTCGCACTTGCCCTCACTCTGGCTAGATTCTTGAGCCGTGAGTGACGAACGCGGATGACATGCAAATTGTCAAATATTCTCGCTCGTTGCTCTGCACTTCTGCAACTGACCTCACGACACTGACGCTGGCGCGACTTGGCCCCGCCCTCCCACGCGCAGAGTTCAAGTACTGGTCAAAGGATTTCATCTTTCTCTTTCCTCATGATGACGAGGGCGACGAATTGGCTGCTACGCGCGCCTGGCTAAACCAGTACTATGGCACTTCACAAGCAAGTAAGTCGCTGCTGCTGCTCGTAGCCAGGCACTCGCGGACGTGTCTAATGGTACTGCCTCACCTCAGACCTGCAAGCAGACGCCTTGCAAATCCCGCGCTCCTTGATCTGGACAGGTCTCTCGCTGGACTATCCCAGCGACAGCTTTTCCTCTCTGCAGCTTACCTTCGAAGGCGTCAACGGCGCAGAGCCTAATCTGGACGTTCTGAACACTTTTGTCCGCGTAGCTCAACGAGTGGACAACGTGCCCATCCGATTCGATTCTCCGCCCAAGGATGATCTGCCTTATGCGGTGGACAGGGC